CGTGACCGCAGCGGGGGCGGCCTCGGCTCCTGCCACTGTCCCCGTCCCCTGTGCTCTGTCCCTTGTACCCTGTCCCTGTCCCCGTCCCCTGTCCCCATCGCTCTGGCACCGTCCCTGTCCGACCCTCTCCATCTCCCTCGCCCCATCCCTTTACCACTCTCCATCACTCTCTCCCCATCCCTGTCCCCTCTCCCTCACCCTCCCACGTTCTCTGCCTTCCCCCTCTGTCCCACCAACCTCACGGAGTCATTTCAGCCCTGGGCAGTTTCTGTCCCTGCCCGTGGGTGCCTGTGCCCATCTCCCCCCCACACCAACCCACTCCACCAGGCCCAGCCCAGAGGAATTATCAGCGGAAGGGGGAGAAGCCAGGCTTAGGTATTAACACACTGCATTAATTTCATTTTTCCCAGAAAGTCTGTAACAGAGTAATCCCATAAACCCAACAAGTGTGGGTGCTGTTATGTAAGGGTGCTGCAGGAGGGCAGGGGGTTATGTAAATCCCTCTGCTCCCCAGCCCGGGGCTGTCCTGGAGCCACAGAGGAACCTGCTCCTGTCCTTAAGCTGGAGCTGCTCTGAGTTTGCTCTGCCCTGGAGCCACAGAGGGACCTGGCTCCTCATGCTGGGGCTGCTCTGAGTTTGCTCTGTCCTGGAGCCACAGAGGGACCTGGCTCCTCATGCTGGGGCTGCTCTGAGTTTGCCCCCAGACGGGCCCAGGACCCCCCAGCAGTGACGGTTCCAGCTGGAGATTCCTGCAGGATGTGCTGCCTGCTCCCACCACGGAAGGCAGCTCAGGGCCAGCTTCCATTTCCTTTCAATTCCTGTTCCTGGGACTTCCCACTCCAGCCCAGCCTGGGGAGCTGCTCCAGCCCAAAGCCCATGGCCAGAGCTGCCCTTCCCCTCCCTGGTGCAGCCCTTTCTGCCCCTCCGGCCGGACATGGGGACATCCCAGTCCCCGGGAGATGGAGAGGGATGTGCCCCTGCCCGGCATTCCCTGGGCACCTGGGGCAGACAGGTGCCCTCATTCCAGCCCTCTGCAGGCTGCTGAGGAGCCCTGGGCTCTCCTTGCCCTTCCACCAACCCTCCTGTGCTCACTGACTGCGTCAGCCTCCCCAGTCCTGGGGGAAAATGGGAAAAAGGGTGAGGATTGTAATGGATGTCATGTTCCAGCCGAAGATACTCCAGGAATACAGAGTGGGATGAGACTGTATCCTTACTGAGACTGAAGGGTGGGGAGCAACCAGCACACACAGGGATTTTTAATGATTTTGGCCTTTCTGCTTTAATGGAGTTGATTTATTATACATTTAAGGTCTTTTCCTGCATTTCCTCTAAGTCGGTTCCACTCTAATCAGGTCAAAAGCTGATTTGCAAATAATCATCACAGAAAGGGAAAAAAAATCAAGGGATTTAAGGCCAAGCTGTGCATTCCATACTATTAATTGAAAGCCAGGAGAGATAATGTGTCTCTTCTCCTGGCTGAGACCCCTAAGCTGCTCTTAGCAGCAAACTGTGCTCTGGGCTCCGGGAATCACCTTCCAGCTGGGATTACACACAGGAAAATCTCCCTGGCCCTGGGGAGGGAAAGGGCAGGAGCTGGGGAGCACCAGAGGTGTCAGAGCATTCACAGCTCTGCGCTGGGCAGCACAAAACCAGGAGCTGTTCAAAACCTGGGATTAAAGGGGAACGGCAGAGCTCCTGAGCGTGGGGCTGCACAGGCAGGATGGGAGCTTGAGTATTTCCCTGCCACCTATTTTCTGCAGATATTTATGTGCAAGCTGTGCCTTGTTTGTCACCCAAGTTTGCCTTGTTGTCACCTTATGTGAGTTTTTCAGGACAGACCATGTCTGAAGGCATAGACAAAGATATATTTATGTATATAGCAGTGATGTCCTGCTGCAGGAATTCTGAACATATTCTTCCCCATCTCCCCACACACTCAGAGGAGGGAAGAGGTTGATAATCAGAGAAATCCACTCTGGTATTAATTACATGCCATTACCAGGGCTTATTTGCTAATCCCCATTCTAATCACCCTCCCGGTTATATTTCAACCAGCACTTGAGGACACTGCACGTCATGAATAAAATATATATCAAAGTTTATTCCAGAGCACGGGCAGCACGGTGCGGGCAGCGCAGCCAGGGTTACACAACAGACCTGCTGTCACACCAGCGGAGGGCGGCACATTCGGGCGTCAGTGAAACCCCCACCCCAGCCCAAACCCGCGGTCTGGGGTTTCAATTTAAATAAGTAAACTAAATACTTAATTAATTAATAGCAGGGCGTCAGTGAAACCCCCCCCCCCCCCCAGCCCAAACCCGGGGTTTGAATTTTAAAATTTAATTAAATAAATAAATAAATAAATAAATAGCTGGAGGTCAGTGAAATGCCCCCACCCCAGCCCAAACCCGGGGTTTGAATTTTAAAATTTAATTAATTAAATAAATAAATAAATAGCAGGGGTTTAGTGAACTCTTCCCCCACCCCAGCCCAAACCCAGGGTTTGGTTTTTTAACTTTAAATACATAAATAAATAAATAAATAAATAAATAAATAGCAGGGGGTTAGTGAACTCTCCCACCCCCCAGCCCAGCCCAGCCCAAACCCAGTGTTTTGGTATTTTAGATTGAAATAAATAAATAGCGGAGGGACTTAGGTTTTCCGGGGGGTTCATGCAGCTGCTGGGGAGCGCCACTGCGGAAGCTCGGAGCGGCGGAGCGGAGCTGCTGGCTCGGTGCGGGACGGTCACCGGGGGCGGCGGGGCGCGGAGGAGGAGGAGGAGCGGGGCCAGCCGAGCCTCCGCAATTCCCGGCGGGAGCGGCTGATCCCATCCGGACCGAGCGTCCGTCCTGAGGCCGGCTCAGGGCTGTGGGACAGCGGCACCAGGGCCCTGCACAGGCTTTCAGTCCGGACAGAGATCCTTCATCCCGGGGGAGATCCTTCATCCCAGAGAGAATCCTTCATCCCGGGGGAGATCCTTCATCCCGGACACAGATCCTTCATCCCGGACACAGATCCTTCATCCCGGACAGAGATCCTTCATCCCGGACAGAGATCCTTCATCCCGGGGGAGATCCTTCACCCCAGAGAGAATCCTTCATCCCGGGGGAGATCCTTCATCCCAGAGAGAATCCTTCATCCCGGGGGAGATCCTTCATCCCAGAGAGAATCCTTCATCCCAGAGAGAATCCTTCATCCCGGACACAGATCCTTCATCCCGGACACAGATCCTTCATCCCAGAGAGAAGTCCTTCATGCCGGACAGAGATCCTTCATGCCGGACAGAGATCCTTCATGCTGGGGGAGATCTTTCATCCCAGAGAGAATCCTTCATCTCGGACAGAGATCCTTCATCCCGGACACAGATCCTTCATCCCGGACCGGGATCCTTCACCCCGAGCCCATCTCCGCCTCCTCGTGCCTTCCTGCCAGCCCGCAGTGACCGGCTCAGCCCCCGGGTGACTTTGGGTGTCCCCAAGGACGCTGCTGGAAGCCCCGGGAGCCTTCAGTGTCCCCGCGTGGTTTGGTCGGTCACGGAGCAGTCCCAGACTCGCTCGCTGGGCTGGACGGTGCCAGCGGAGCCCGAGCCCCGCTCCCGTCCCGCTCTGTCCCGTCCGGGCTGGAGCCCGAGCGCTGCCCGGGTGCTGCGGGTGCGGTGGCCCCGAGCCCGCTCCGCTCTCCGCCGAGGCTCGCAGGGGCCACGCCAGGGCTGCCCCGTGTGAGTCACAGTCCCAGCAGTGTCCCAGGGGCTGGGGTCCCCTCCCGGGGGCCGCGGGGCTCAGGCGGGGAAGGAGCCCTGCCCCAGAACCTGCTGCCTTCAGGGGAGAGGCGGCCCAGACCGGGCTGGGGGTGCTGGCAGCAGATTCCTCTATGAACGCCCCCAAACCTGGCAAGATCCTCCAGGGACCCCAGACTCTGAGGGCTCTCCCGGTCCCAGGGAGGTTCCCAGAACCTGCTGGGTCCCCCAGCCTCATTGTGTGCCCCCCGTCTGTCCCCCCACTGCACACCCCGGACCCTGACCCTGCAGGGTCCTTCGAGCACCACAGCCCTCAGGGATGCTCTCCCCACCAAACCCCTCAGGGCACCTCAAGGTCCCCAGACCCTGCTGGGTCCCCTGGAGTGCCCTAATACCACAAGGTCCCCTATGGAACCCCAAATACCCCAGAGTCTCCCCCCATCAGACCCCTTGGGCCACTGTTGGGGTCCCCAGACCCTGCTGGGTACCCCCACCCCACAGAGTCCCCAGGACCCTGCAGGATCTCCCTGGCACCCTCAAGGATGCTTAAGCCCTTGCAGCCCCTGGGTCCCATCCCAGTGGACCTCTCAGACCTCCCCCACCCTGCAGGATCCCTCTGGGACCCCCAAATCCATTGGGTTCCAGCCCATCGGATTCCCCAGACCCTGCTGGGTTCCCCCATCCCACAGGGTCCCCTGGACCCTTCACACTCTGCAGAATTCAACTGTAACCCCCAAACCCACCAGTTCCAAACCCATCAGACTCCTCTGAAGGACCCCAGACCCCACTGGGTTGCCCCACACCAGGTGGGTCCCCCAGATCCTGCAGGGTCCCCGAGGCCCCTCACACTCACCAAGGTGCCCCCGACCCCAGGTCTCCCAAGCCCAGCAGATTCCCCAGGACTCCCTGAAGGACCCCAGCCCCTACTGGACCCCCCCCACAGCCCTGGCTCCCACAGTTCCCCCAGTGAGCCCAACAAGGTGTCCCTCCACTTTCAGAGCCCCCAAACCCCCTGGCTCCCCACGGATCAAACCCCCTCAACCACCCCAAACCCCCCTAGCTCCCCAAACCTCCCGCGTCCCCACCATTTACCCTTCCCAAAACCCTCTGAAGGACCGGATCCCCCCACCACGGGCTCCCCCAGATCCTGCGGGGTCCCCCACACCCACCAAGGCGTCCCCCACTTCCAGAGCCCCCCGTGTCCCCACCCACCGACCCCTCGGGTCCCGCCGGTCCCCGGCCGCCCCGCAGCCCCTGGGCCGCGCTAGGCGGAGCCGCGGCTGGCGGCGGGCAGGCGGCGCACGGGGGTGCCGGCGGCGGCCCCGCGGCTCCGTGCGGGGGCCCAGGGCACGCAGCTGCGGAGGGCGCGGGCGGCGGCGAGCAGCGCTCCGGGCCGGGGCCGCGGGCGGCGGCGCAGCCCCTTCTGCAGCCGCTGGCTCTGCGCGGCCAGGGCGAGCTGCGCCTGGGCCACGCCGGCCCCGAGGCGGCCCAGGGTCTCGGCGCGGGCGGCCAGGCGCAGCTCGGCGTGCAGCAGCGCGCAGTGCACCTGCCGCACCCGCCCCTCCAGCTCGGCCGCCGCCCGCCGCCGCCCCTCGGCCGCCACCAGCCGCCGCCGCGCCGCCGCCAGCTCCACCGCGCCCGGGCCGCCGCTCTTGCCGTCGCTGCCGCCGCCGCCGCCGCCGGGGCCGCCGCGGGACGGGCGCTGCGCGTCGCCGCCGGAGGGGCTCGGAGGTGCCGGTACCGCCGCCGCTGCAGCCATGGGAGCGGGAGCGGCGGCGGAGGATGCGGCGGGGATATATAGCCCGGGGGCGGCGCCGGCGGCGGCGGCTCGGCCCCGGCGGGGGCGGCTCCGGCACGGGCTCCGCACCGGCACGGGGGAAGGGGGTGGGGGACACGCGAGCCCGGACCGGCACGGCGCAGCCCGGGGCTCGGTACCGGCAGGCGCTGCACCGGCACCGGGCTCGGCGCGGCTCCGGGGCGGGATCGCTGCGGGCTCGGTGCTACACCGGGCTCGGTACGGCACCGGTGCCGGCATCGATGGGCCCCGGGCTCGGCGCGGCACCGGCACCGGTACCGCACCGCTATGGACTCGGTGCTACACCGGGCTCGGCACGGCAGCGGTGCCGGCATTGATGGGCCCCGGGCTCGGTACGGTACAGCCCTGGTATGGCACCGCCAGGGGTCTGGGCTCGGTACCAGTCCCGGGCACCGGGCTCGGTACAGCTCGGTACGGCACCGGGCCGGGGGCGTTACCGGAGCTGGAAAAGTGCCCTCCCTTGGAGAGAAATGCGGAGCTGGGGCCGGTGGGAGAGCTGAGAAGGGCACCGCGGGGGCACTGGGGCTCTGGGAGGGGCTGGACCGGGCTGTCCCGGGCACCGGCGCGTCCTTGGATGTGCGGCTGTCACAGCAAGGTCGCTGCCACCGTCATCGTCGTTTACACGGTGTTAATAAAGCTGGGAGTGGGCTGGCGGGGCAGGGGGCTGCAGCAGGAGGTGCCACTGCCACCCCGCTCCCCCCAGAGCTGGATTTTAGGGTTCCTCCTGTTGGAATGTCATCCGCGGCGGCTGCATCTGCGTGTAGCTGCGTGGGCCTCACATCGGAGCAGCAGAGATGACAGAAACCAGGTGTCAAGGTTTCATCCCACCCCCAGACTGGAATAAAAGCCTAAGCCAAAAACAAAACCGAGCCTAAATCTGTTTCAGGCAGAACCACATCCAGGCCTTCAGTGGTTGTCGCCCACGGGGCTGGTGACATTTTTGCTTTCTTTACCTTAGGAGGAATAAAAACCTCATCTCTTGTGCTTTGCATCACACTCCTGCTCCTGCCAGGCTGCCACACGTCTGCCAGGCACCGGAGCAGCGTCAGCGGCTGCTGCTGCGTCACTGCTCGGCCCCCGCGGCCGGCCCGTCCCATCCCACCCCATCCCGTCCCATCCCAACCCCCGGCTGCCGCCGCATCCCCCACCCGCCTCGGAGCACGGCCCCAGCGCCCCCCGAGCTCCTCAGGGGTCGGATCCTGCCCCATCCGGCTCTCCGGGCTGGGGGGAGGCCGGAGGCTGGGCTGAGCCTTCATCTATCCGATAGAAATGCTGCTCGAAATGGGGTGTGGAAGTTGAGGGGTGCCCAAAAAACTGTGGGGACACGCAGGAATTAAAACCAAGAGAGCGTCCTCCTGTCTCATTTTTTTTTCTCTGATCTGGTGGAACTGGACCCTCAAGGGTCCCCCCAAGAGGGGAAAGGGCCGGGGTGAGTCCTGCCCTGAGCTTCCCGCATTCCCCAGAATGAAAGCCTGGAATGGCAGAGGTTGGAGGGAGCTCAGGAGGCGCCTGCTCCGTCACTGCCTGCTCAGAAATAATCGCTTTTTTGGGTCACCCCCCACGTCTGCGCTGCTTGACGCCTTCCCAGCTCCAGGCCCTGCTCCAGGCTGAGAGAAGGACACGGAAAGGGGCAGCAACTGTGCCTGGACATGAGGTCCAGGAGGTGAGCTGGGGACACCGGGCAGTGAGGCTGAGCCCCCAGAGCAGCCTTTGTGTCTCCAGGCTGGCCCAGCGCATCCCAGCAGCGAGCAGACAGGGGCCGGGAAAGGCAAATCGCAGAAAAAGACAAGAAATGTCCCTGCCCTGAGGCCAGGCACAGCCCGAGTCCCCAAACCCCTCCGGCACTGCAGGATTCCTGCTCGGGCTGGTGAGCTATTAATCATTTAGCCGAGGAGGCTGCAATTAGCAACGCTCAGAATAAACCTCGGTGATACAAAAACCCGGTGGGAGCTTTGTTCTCCCTTCGTTCTCCCTTCGTTCTCCCTTCCCTGACAGCGCTGCTCTGCCGAGGCACTGGGATGGGACACCGGGAGAGGACACCGGGATGGGACACCAAGACGGGACAGCAGGAAGGGACACGGGGACGGGACACCGGGACAGGACACCGGGACAGACACCAGAACGGGACACTGGGATGGGACACTGGGACGGACACCGGGACAGACACCAGGACACGACCCCGCCCTGCGTCCTGCAGCCAGCGCAGCCCCCGGCATTGCCCCGGGACACGGGGATTAGGGATGCAGGAGGACGGAGCCGAGGGATGAGCAGCGGCCTCATCTCCAGTCCCCGCAGAGCCCCGCGCTGGGATGTGCTCCAGAAAAGCCAAGCCTCGTTACAGGCAGCAATAATTAACGTCGGTGCCCTCCCTCTCAGCCGCTCCCCAGGTTTTTTTCCTGGGTGTCCCAGTTACCAGGGCAGGAGGGACTCGGGCGCTGCTCTTTCATCCTGGCAGGTTTAGGGAAGGAATCGTGCATCAGGATTTCAGGTTTAAGCCCCAAGACTCCTGGGCTGACCCAGCTCCCTGTCCCACCATCCTTTTGGAATCCAGCAGCAGACTCAGTGCCCCGCTGCCATTCCACTGGGCTCCCTGCCTGCTGCCCTCCGAACCTCCGGGGCAGGATCCGACCCCAGGAGTGAATCACCAGCTCTTTGGGATAGGGACACCTCGGGACAGGGATCCTCGGGGGTGGGAACACTCGGGGAGGCGATCGGGCCGGCAGGGATCCCCGGCACCGGACCCTGGCACCGGGGGGCTTTGGGGCACGCACCTCTGGGGGCCGGGCTTTGTACCTGGGTTTGTGCCGGGGTTTGTACCCAGGTTTGTAGTGGGGTTTGTTCTGGGTTTGTGCCCGGTCTTTTGCCGGGTTTGTACCCGAGTTTATACCGGATTTGTGCCCGGCTTTGTACCGGCTTTGTTCCCGGTTTGCTTGGGTTCGTGCCCGACCCCGGAGCAGCTTCGCCCGCCGCGCTCTGCTGTCCCTCGGCGCGGCCCGTCCGGGTCACGTGGCGCACCTGGCCCAGGTGAGGCGGGGCCGGACGCGCTCCCGGCTCGCAGGTAACGAGACCCGGCCCGGCCCGGCCCCGCACGGCACCGACCCCGGCCCGGCACCGACCCCAGCCCGGCCCCGGGCACAAACCGGGCCCCAGCCCCGGCATCAGCCCCGGGCCCGGCCCGACCCCGCCGCCGCCGCCGCCGCCCGGCGCTTCCCGGCCCGGCCCGGGGGCAGCCGCAGGCCGCGACCGGCAGGGAGAGAGGCAGGCAGGGAAGGAGGGAGGCAGGGAGGGAGGGTTCCCCGTCACCCCACACCGGGCTCCCCTCGGCCCCCGGGCTGCCCCCGGCGCAGGGGGCCCCGGTGCGGGCAGCCCCCACCGCCACCGGCCGCTCCCGCTGTCCCCTCCCGCTGGCCCTGGGGAGGCTGGGGGCGGTCGGAGCTCTCCCGGGGGGTTTGGGACCGGCTCTGATTCCCAGGGCTGGAAAACGGAGCGGGGGGCGCGCTGGGAGCCGGTGCAGAGCAGGGCAGGCGGGGATGGGGCTGTTCCTGCTGCTCCTGCTGCCGGCGTCTCCTCTCCCCAAATCCCCCGCCTGGAGCTCATGCTGGGGGCCAAGGTAGGCAGAGGGAGCTCCCTATGGTGCCCAGGTGGGTCTCCCCTTTTCCTTCCCTTTCGTTTGGGAGGGAAAAGGGTCAAACGTTGTTTGCCTGCCCCGTGGTGGAGCCCTGGCTGTCAGCTGGAACGGGGTGGGTGTTTTGGGCCAGGGGCACCGGGGAGGGTTTGGCACGAGGCAGTTCCTCGGGCAGGTTGTTGATATCCCAGAGAGCTGCCAGAGGGATGCTGGGTCCCCAGGGATGCACAGGGACGATGCTGCATCCACATTTACCCTGGGTCAGCATCTCCATCCCTCCTGCTGCCAGCAGAGCAGGGCAGAGCCGGAGCTTAACAGGTGACTGGCAAGGCTCCTTAGGACATTTCCCAGCTGTGGATGCTTCCACAGAGTTCAGAGAAGCTGCATCAGTGTGTGAATCCTGTCTCCTGAATTTAGCAACACTGGCAGCATGGTTATTGTCAGATGGATGTGACATTGTTCAGGAGATTCACAACTTAACTGAGCTTTTTTAAAACTTTCCAGGGAAATCCCTCCCTCTGAACAATGAAGATCTTAGACCCTGGCTAACTCTGAGTGCTGCAAACTCCCTGTGGACCCTTCCTGGCTCCTCTGGAGCAGATGCTGAGGCTCTCTAGAGGGACCTGCAGTCACTCCCAGTGCCTGTGTGAGAGCAGAGGAAGCTCCCAGCCATCGTGTGAGTAACACTTGGATGTGGATTGTGGTCTGAGCATTTATTTGTGGCTGGGGGTTTTGGTCCAGCCCGTTCCTGTGCTGGGGGAGCTGCTGGATCTGTGTCCTGTCTGTGCTCCTCAGGAACTTTTCCAGTGGTCCACAGGTCCCAGAGGTGTGGGCTGTGATGGGAATGGGTGAGCCCACAGCTGTCTCTGACACCTGTGCCTGCAGGTCTCCTCCTTAGAGCTGAGATAATGCTCCTGTCTCTGTCCCAGATGCTCTGAAATCTCAGAATATTGTCTGTTGTTACATAAAGGAGTGTTGCTGTGCAATGCAGATGTTGGGCCTCTCAGTGAGGCCTTGGAATGAGAAGAAACATCCCAGTGAGCAGTTCCCAGTTCAGCTCAGATGTTTTCATTTCACTTCATGGTTTTCTCAGTCTGTTTTTAAATTCTGAACTGCATTACAGAAATGAGGAAGTTGAGGGGAATAACCCCTGACTTGTTCTGAAGTGAAAGCAATCAAAACTCTGCAGTGATACTGAGGTGAGGGAGCTCTGCCTGCTCGGCACTGAAATTGGAGCATCTGGGGCTTTTTATTTTGCATATTGCCCAGGAATGTGCAAAGGGAGCTCCTGGGATGAATTTTCACAGGGTAACAGAGCCAAAATATTCCTGGAAAGCAGTGGTGTGCTGTAACTGCCTGGCTTTCAGTCTGGGCCTGTTTCTTTGTGGGGAAAATGTGACTCTGGGTTTAAAAACCAGGGAGAAAGAGGCAGTGCTCTAACAAGGTCTGACAGATTTATTTATTCATGCTTGAGGTGCCCTATAGAAAGTCTACAGTAAAACAACAAGGACAGCCCTACAACACTTACACTATGGCTGGGCTCTCACTGCTTATTAATTACCCTAATTAGTGTTTGAAAGGATCTCTTGGAGGTGCAAGCAGCATTAGCCAAGAAGCCTGGAAACCATGGAGAATTCCAGGACCCACCACAGCCTGGGATAAAGGCACAGCAGAAGTGGAGAGTGACAGCCCTGACCTGGCTTTCCTCACATCGCCCCGTGCTGAGCTTTAATAATAAAAAGATTAAAACCAGGGAGAATGAACGTGCCAGAGTGTGAAGGTTGGCTCTGTGCAGGGAGAACGTGACAGGCTCACTGTAAAAACAGTTCCTCCTGCCTGCAGACCTGCAGGAGCTGTGCTGGCACAGCTGAGCACGGTCTGCTCTGGAGCTTCTGTTTCTCTAGGGTTTGTAAAGGTTTTGTTCCCATGAGAGGTGATTTGAGACCTTTAATAGAGACCAACTTGTTGACAAGGTCTTTTCCTTAATCCAGATGAAGACGTTGGGTTTTCATAGGGAAGTCTTTGACATCGCCCGACCTTAGCATGACTGGCAAAAATCATTAGTGTTGGTAATGCTGTCATTGCTAAATCCTCTAAATTGAAATAGCAGCAAATAACGTGGAGTTGGAATTGGCAGCTTGCATAATGATGGATTGCTTGTCATCTCCTCCTGGGCACGATGTGTTTTGAAATGGATAAGTGCTGTCAGGGCCCAGCCTAATCCTGAGGAATGCAAGACAAAGGGAAGTTGTTTAAAAAAAGATACTTTCCCTTTGGAGCCTGTCAGTGGCTCCACCTCCAGCTGTGCTGCTCCTTCATTGCTCTGGAGCCGACGACTCTTCCAGCTGCGTGGAGGAAACTCTTCTGAAGGTTACAGGGATTTTGATGTCTGAAAATAGCCCTTTTAAAGCATCTCTCTTCTGAGGAGAGCATTGACCCAAAGGAAGCAGCAAGGCTTAGGTGGTGGGAGAGCCCTGGAACGCGGGCCCTGAGTGAGAGCAGCGTGAGTCCTGACACAAAATATTCCTGTAAATCGTTGGCTTTGGGAGCCTCTGGCTGCCAGATCCCTCTGTGCTGATGGACAGCTCGCTGAGGTTGGCTGGTGGTGCTGGGTTGCTCTGATTTCCCCCCTGTCCTGCAGGTGCCCGAGTGCCGAGCCATGCTGGGCCGGAGGAGCCGCCTGCCCCCCGAGCTGAGCAGCGCCCGGCAGAGGGAGCAGCCCTGCCCGGAGGCCGTGCCCCTGCGGGCCCGGGCAGCCAGGGACTCCAGGGACAGCAGGGACAGCAGGGACACGGATGTCAGCCTGGAGGTGCTCAGTGGCTCCGAGATCAAAGCGAGCCGTGGCCGAGCGCAGCAGATGCGGGACAGGAAAGGGCGCAAGGCCGAGCTCAAGGACCCCAACGGCCGGGAGGCGGAGACCATCACCTTCATCTCTGGGACAGCAGAGGCTCCCCAAAACCAGGGCTTCTGCTGCTCCTCCCTGTCTCAGGCCTGGAACACGTACAAGGCTGTTTTCTGTTGCATAGTGACGTGTGGGGGCTGCTTCCAGGACTGCAGTGTCTGCGTTCCCTACCCAGGGCCCGCTGAGACCTCCACAGATGATGGGAAGAATGGAGACTACAATGGGCGGCTGCCAAACAGCCCTACCAACACCTCTCCTGCTGAGAAGAACGGGAACCAGATCAAGAAGTCCATCATGGGCAGCAGTTTCAGTTACCCAGACGTGAAGCTGAAGGGCATCCCTGTCTATCCAAACAGGAACACCAACCACCACGTGGAATCTGATTCCTGCTGCAAGGAGCTGCTGGAGAAGCCCTTCAGGAACAGCATAGAAAAGCCAGCGCTCCCCAGCAGCCACCGGAGCTCAGAGGAATATTATTCCTTCCACGAGTCCGATGTGGACATCAGCGAGCTGAACGGCTCCATGTCCAGCAGGCAGATCGACGTCCTGATCTTCAAGAAGCTCACAGAGCTCTTCAGCGTCCACCAGATTGACGAGCTGGCCAAGTGCACCTCGGACACCGTCTTCCTGGAGAAGACCAACAAGATCTCGGACCTCATCAACAGCATCACTCAGGACTACAACCTGGACGAGCAGGACGCCGAGTGCCGGCTGGTGCGGGGCATCATCCGCATCAGCACCCGCAAGAGCCGCGTGCGGCCCCACATCTGCAGCCCGGCCAGCCAGGGCCACCAGGACCCGTCCGGCCGCGGCACCGCGCCCGACAGCGGCAACGAGACCATGCTGGAGTCCATGGTCCTCAGCCAGGACGGTACGGGGGGTGCCGGGGGTCCCTGGGTGCTGCAGGGGGGCTGTGCCACCAAAGCCACCGAGCTGTGGTGCTGGAGCGGGGCTGGAGGCTGCTCTGTCCCCACTGGGCACCTTCTGCTGGGGTGTGTGAGTGCAGAGCTCTGCTTCTCACCCTCCTCCCTGTGCTGTGGCTTTCTTGAGCCTGTCTTTCCCTGCCCATGAGGTTTGTGCTGAGCAATAGCTGGGTTTGTGCTGCTGCTGCTGCTTCTGCCTGTGCTCATCTGAGGGAGGCAGAAAAACAGTGAGTCAAACTGAACTAGTAGGACCAGACGAGCTGCTCATGCCCGAGGATGTCCAGTTACTCAGCTGGCTCTCTCCCATGTGCTGCCTGGCTCATGCCACCCTTAGACTCTGTGACAGTGTGTCCTCAGAGCCCAGACCTCCTCCACACAGTGAATATTCCTGCCAAGAGGAGGGAAGGGCTGTTCCACAGCACCAGAGCTTCTGCTTCTTCCTCCTTCTGGGAGCAGCCTCAAGTGTCTGAGCTCCAGAGCAGGCTATAACAGTTTGTTGTAGAAGAACCTTGAAAAGCTGAGTGTGGGAGCAAGGAGATATCCAGAAGTCCCAGAGGAAACAGTGTGGGTGTTGTGCTTCCCAGATTAGCAGAGAGGCTGCTCCTGGGATTTAAGGACACAGCTCAGACTGTCCGGACGATGGCAGAAGCAATGGGAAGAATCAGACTGTGCCTGTGCTGTTCCCTGAGGGTGTTCCCTGACAGGATCCTTAGTGCTGAGTCATCCTTTCCATCCTCCTTCCCTGTCTCAGGCCCTCTTGGTTTGCATTGCAGAGCTGGCCGTGCAGATCTCGGAGGAGACCCCGGCGGATGTGCTGGCCAGGAACATGAGGCGGCACAGCAGCGCAGGTAACGCACACCCTGGCTGGGCCTGGCTGCAGAGGAGAGCCCTGAGCCCACCCTGGCCACGTCCTCACCCTCCACACAGCCTGAGCTGACCCTGCTCCTCAGGCTCCCCTCGGTTCTCCTGGGCTTTGGGGGCGATGGAGCTCGGACCCTCCCTGGGTTGGTGGATCTTTCTGAAAAGGGGGAAATCCAAGTGTGGCACATTCCCTGTCCTTGCACAGGACCCGTCCTGAGAGATTTCAGTCTCTTTGTACCCTGACAAAGTTTGGGGCTGTATTTGGGGTGTGACTGCCAGAGGTCACAGCTGGGTGAGACTGGGAACAAAAGGAACTGTGCAAAAGGGAAGCAGGCAAGGCTGCCCCGAGCTCTATCCTCCCAGAGAGCAGCCCAGGGCTACAAGACAAGTTTCCTCCTGCACAGCAGCTCTGTCCTGGGAGATGGCTGCAATGCAGGCAGGGCTGTTCCTGCCATGGCTTTGTGTGGCTTTCTCCTCCCTCATGGTACACAAAGCCTTTTGTGGCAGCTGCTTCCCCAGTGCCAGGCTGCTGTGCTTCCCCTGGGCTAATGGCACTGTCTGTTCTCTCTCTCTCCTCCCCAAGGCTCTCCAACCAGCAGAGATTCCTCTTTCCAGGACACAGAGACTGACTCGTCCGGGGCCCCTCTGCTCCAGGTGTACTGTTAAAGGACCCGAGCAGCAGGGAGGCATTCCAGGCCTTTGCTGCAGTCACAATCCTCCTCCTTCCATGTGGAGTGTGTTGTGCCAAGTTTAATTTTTTTTTCCCCAGTCTTCCCTGATCCTTATTGAAGCCAGATTCTCCTGCTGTCTGAACTTCACTGGATATTTTGGTTTTTATGGACAATCAAGGAAGCAAACTGCGGAGCTAATGAACTTGGAGGTGGAATGTGTGCCCAGGGAGGAGAAGATGGACAAGGAAGTAGCAGAGAACTTGTGCCTCTGTGATTCCTGTAAATCACATTTAGCTCCAGCAGCCTCAGTGGCTCAGCCCTTTCCCTGCTTTGAGGACCTGTTGTACAGTTCTGCTTCCTGCATTGCCTGAGTGAACTTGGATAGGGAATAACTGTGGTGTCTCTGTGCTGGTGCTGATGTTGAGGTGCAGGCTGAGATCCTGCTCTGCAGGGACCCAAATCTCTATTTAAAGTGCCTGTATTGGTCCCACCAACCCAAAGTCTTCCACCCATGGTGTTTCCAGATCTGCCTTTCCCTGCTGAGCCTTGGTGTCACCTGCTGCTGCCTGAGGAGAAGGTTGAGCTTTATGGGGATCATTCAATCTGTGGCCTCTTGGCTCATCCCCTGATTCAGGGCCAGTGCTGGGGGCTGGGGTGGCTGCTGGGCTGCCCCTGCATGAGCAGACTGTGGGGATCAGCTCTGCTGCACTCCAGGAGCACACACTGCCTGCCTGCCAGCAGCTCTCCCACTCCTCTGTGCGTGCTTCCCTGGGAGAGCCTGGAGCAGGATTGTGGCAGGTGAGGGGAACACTCCATTCACTCCTGACTTCTTGTGGCTCAGAACTGGGCTCTTTGACTGTTCTGCTAAAAATCCCTTCCAATCCCCTGGTTTGCCTGGAAAGGAAAGGCTCCTGAGAGTATCAGCAGAGGGTTTGTGAGGCACTGCTGGCCCCTGCCTCTCCCTGTGGGCACTCAGCACCTTGTCCTTCCCTTTGCAGGCAGGAGATGGGCACTGCTGTCCCCAGGGCTCAGTGCCAGCTGACCTGCAGGGCTGCAGCAGGAGGAAGCTGCATCTGTGGTGTTGCCACTTGGTTGTTTATCACAAAGTAAACATGTCGAGCCATGGGACTTGTTTGGAGCTTTGGGTGCCCTTGGACATTAACAGAAAATGCTTCATTTAATTCACCAGCCATAGGATAAACACACCCACTGGATTTTGGGGAGAGGGAAGCCCAAATAGGCCCTGGGCTTCGGTGTGGACCATGGTTTTGTGCCTTAGATGGACTGGAATGTGCTTCAGTTGGACTGAAATGTGCCTTAATTGAACTGAAATGTGCCTTAGTTGAAATGTGCCTTTATTTTATAGCTTGTGATTGCTCTTCAGAGGTTTGGGCAGGGAGGAAGGATTTAATTCCTCTCACGAGCTCTCAGGCTTCTCTGAAAGGCCAAACCCCTTTGAAATGGACAGTTCCAGTCCCTGTTAGAGCCTGTTTCTGTAAACCACTGGCTGTTTTCAGAGTGTGCTTCCAGGAATCAGGGGCATTACTGAGACCACACCTGGAGGCACTGACAGAGATATTTCAAAGACGAAGGGAAGGGACTGAGCCTTGGATTTGGCTTCCCCTCCCTGCTTTGTGTTCAAAGCTGTTGGTTGATGAGAAATCGAGTTTATACAAGGGAAAGACTTGAAGCAAGGCCAGGCTGGGACTCCCAGGGGAGCTGTGTGAGGTCACCTCCCTCCAAATGCTGCCTGTCCTGAGGGACCTGCTTGGCTTCTGCTTCTCCTGGGTTTGTACATTGTTATTTGGACAAGTTTCCTCAGAGCTGTGTGCTGAGGTTCACGTGGGTCACACTGACACAGCTCTGTGGGCTGTGCTGGAGACAAGGGGTGAGCTGGGCTTGCAGAGAGCTGCAGTCACTGCTACAGAGCAGATACACATTTTAGTGGCTAGGCTGGGTGTGAAGAGTGAGCATGTGGGGGTTAAACTAGCCAAAAAACCCCAGGCCCCCAAAAACTCACTGAGAGGAAGACTGTCAACCCGATGGTCCCTGAAGCTGGTTCACCTGTGGTGTCTTATGGGAGGTTCTATTGCACTCATTGGCCTTAAATGTTCTGGTTTGGTCTTTTTTATAAAGTAAAAGTTGTGCTCTTTGCTGTGCTGTGGCTTTTACATTCCTGTAAAATGTAAAATGGGGATCCTGGGGTGGGGGTTGCCCAGGGGGTGGCTGATTCCTGCAGTCCCAGGTGCACAAGGACATTTTCATCCATTTGGTGGCTCCAGGGGGATCCTGACTGCCAGGCTGGTGTCTGGATGCAAATGAAGGAGCCTCTGGGGAAGTGTTTGTTGTCCTGCACGGAAACCTGGGCCTTCCAGGGTGTGATGCTGGAACTGAGCTCTGGAAAAGCTGAGCCTGGGGGGAGAATTCCCAGGTTGTCCCTGTGATGTCACCAGCTCGTGGCAGCAGATGTGGGGTTTGCTCCACAGGATCAGCTCAGGGATGGAGGGTGGCCCAGCCTCTGACCTGGGACTTGGAGGACCAGTTCTGCACTTCCCAATTTCAGTGCCAACCCCAGGATAACCTGCAGGGCTCCGTTCCTGGCCGCTGACCTTCCCTCACCCTCTGGGCAGGGGCTGGGCAGGAGCCCTGGGGTTTCCTGCTGGTGCACAGGACCAGGATGTGTTTCCTGGGAGGATTTCAGAGCCAGGAACTGGTAAATGCTGCCTTCTCTCGGCCGGGAAGGGTCTCTGGGGATGTTTTTGTGTCTGGAGCCCTCGGACCAGCTGGGTGGGGTCTATCAGCCCAGTTTGTTCAGCAGCTTCCCAGTTTGCTGCTGCCTGGGCCTGGGTGTCCTGGCTCACACCCACACATGGGATGAGTCCATGGGGTTTTTGTCTGCAGGAAGTCGTTTGCTGTGGATGGAGCTGTCCTGGCTCTTGCTGGAGTGGGTTTTGCTCTGAGCATGTGTTGAGTGTTCTGCTGAGTGAGCTGACTGCGTTGCCCAAGTGGAGACCTCACAAACACAAGAGCCTTTACCTGGCCACACAACTGTGGAGGTGTTCTCTCACTCAGGTGCTTCCTTCTGGGAACCTGACTCAGCACCTGGCTTTTCCTGAAGACATTGTTTGGTTTTATTGGGCTTGGTTGTGCCAGGAGTCTCCAGACACTCCCACTTTGTGGGTGCTTGCTGTGCTGTGCCCTCAGAGGGATCCCTGTCCTGCCCAGCCCGAGCTGTGCCCCTGCCCAGGGTCCCCTGGCATCAGGTGAGGGCAGCTCAGGAGCTCTGCAGGGAATGGCTGCAGGAGTGGTGAAGAAATTCCTCTGCCCATCCCCACCCTGAGCTGCTGAATTATTTATCTCAGTGTGACTTAGACATTAGGAAGCAGATGGATGGACTATAATTCCTCACAGCCTGGCCCTTGCAGTAACAGAGCAGCTGAGGCTCCTCCTAAAACAACACGGTAACATCCAATACTCACTGTTCCTGTTCCCTTCCTCAGGCTTTTGCTGTTCCATTGCTCTTCCCAAAGCAGTCCTGGAGTCTGGGATATTTCCCAAATGCTCTGAGCTGCAATATTCATTAATAAAAGCTAAGCAGAGCCTGTTGTGCCTGCAAAGGCCTTGCTTCTTTTACAGGTGAGGAGGAGCCCTGGGCAGGTGAGGAGCTCCAGGCTCTGCCCTCCAGCTGGTGGCAGCACCTGAACGGCTGCTCCAGGTGAGCTGGCACAGGTATGGGGAGCCAGAGGGACCTCGGTGAGCTGTCCCTGTCCAGCACTGCCCTTCCTGCTCTGCTGGGGCTCAGGTGCCACTCAAGGTGTGTGCACAGTGTGGATGCTGGTGCTGCCCAGCATTTCCCTGGTGCTGCCCAGCATTTCCCTGCCATGGGCACAGGACAGGGCCACGCTCCGAGGTCTCCAGGGACTCAGACTGAGGTGGGGCTTTGCATTCCTCAAGCCCTGAGCAGCTGCTCAGACCCAGCAGGGTTTATCCCAGGGGAAGCTGCCTTGGGAAGCACAAGGGTGCTCCCAGCTCGCTCTGGCTGGGGACAGTGGTGGCCGGGGCTGTTTGCAGAGGACAAGGCCGGCAGTGAAACACCTTCTGTTCCGCTGCCGAGGGGCCGAAGTCCAGGGGCAGCTCTGGGATCAGCCACGTTCACAAACACGGCCCGGGCATTCACCTCCTGCAGGGTCAGGGCACCAGGGCTGGCCCCATTCTCCCACTGACCTTCCTTCCTCCCAAAACCTCCCCCCAGCTTCCCTGGGGTTCACCCACAGAGCTGAGAACAGGGAGAAGCTCATCCACACCCAGAGCAGCTCAGCCCTCCCAGCTCCCCTGTCCCACAAACCAGGCAGGTAGCTCATTCTGGGGCTAAAACCTTCAAATCCAGCAGAGTTCAGCTTTTTTTATGAAAACAGAGGCTGCTCTTTTATCAAGGCCAAAGTACAGACAGGCAGGTGGGTGTAGAGGGAAGGCAAGTGGGTGTAGGTGATCTGTAAGACAAACAGGCAGAGGCAGCTGCCCCAATCTGGGTCCTTGCTCACCCTCAAGGTCACTGCTCTGCTGGGAGGGAGCTGCTTTTTAACCCCAAGAGTCTGTAAAATGAGAGACTTCATGCAAACAGTGTTCTGCTGCTCAGAAAACAACCCCACCACGCCAGGAGCTGTGCCAGGCTGGACTTTGCCCAAACAGGATTTTCAGCCCTTTGTGCCCATCCCTTGGGCAGGAGGTGGAAATGTTTGTGGGAGGCAGAGGGAAGAGCCACAGCAGCAGGGGTTTGGGATAGAGCCCAGGATTTCCTGACACTCTCCTTGTTAACTGGGCATGGAGGAGACCTGGGGCAAGGGTGGCTTCCTGGTGTGGTCGTGTGCTGCTCTGTGGAGAGCAGAGCCTGGAGCAGCCACCCCGGGGTTTGAGCTGGAATGGGGCTCAGCAGCACTCCTGAGCAAAACACAGCTCCCACTGCCACCTCCTGAGGGAGGGAGAGACCATCAGTCC